ATATTTCAGGCATATATTATACGTTGCCGTGTGCACGTACGTGAAGATACACGATGCACGTGAGGACTTGGAAGCAATTACTTCAGCTGGCATTGCTTACGTGGAGAAGGTGACGACAGCAGCAGTCTGTCGATATCTAGTCGACACCACGCCCACAATTACAGTACAATCCGCCGTCGGTGCTACTACATGTAACAACAACGGTTGAACGTGGTGGTCGGTCATGGTTTATGAGTTGGCGTTCTCCACAAGCTCGTCCAATGAGCTGCGTGATTCTTTGAGGTGACAGTCCCTACCGCAGACGCGCCCGGATGCAGGAGATTTAGTCGTACTTCACCGCCGTGCTGTAACTCTGCTCGCCTTCGGAGTTTCGAGCTCGCGACAGGGGCGCTGTGATCCAGAGACTGACCCGCTGCAGCGGGCAACAGCCGGCGAAAAAAAAGTCTCCAGGCGGTCGCCAACTGGTGCACCGAAAAAAAAAGTCTTGCTTTTAGAGTGCAACCATGGTTGAACCATGGTTGAACTCTTGAGTCTCAGGCTTTCGACATGATGTTAGTTAAGTCTATACCGAGCAGCAGTTTTCCCGAGCGGCTGGGAAACTGCGAGAGACATAAAACACAGGAACGAGGAGTGTCCTGACTCAAGCTGCGACGACTGTTGCCTGTGCCAAACGCACTCAAGGTACACAACAAGGGTACTCAACAAACACGATACCACATCCGACGCACGTGTTGCAAAAGACGTGGAATTCCACTTCGAAACATATTTTTCATTTTTCGTGAACATGCTTCATCTCGACTCTCTTATCTCTCTCACGAACGAACGGTATTCATTCAGTCAAGCCTACAGCTCTAGTTTCGCTGTGGACTCGCCAAAAACACCGAATGCTGGATGAAAACATGAGGGGATGACATGCACCACAGCGGAAAGAGCTACAGCAACAGCAGCAGCGGCGGCTTTACCTGAAGCTTCTTGATCTTGTCGCCCCAGTTCTTGATTCGCCCCTCCACACTCTCCGCGCTGGGGTTCTTGGCAAACAGGTACATCGCCTCCTGGTTAGCCTGTTGCGCCGCTTTCCGTGTGGCCTTCGCAGTCTCGCCAGTCTTCATCGTCGCCACCTAGTTAGGCATCCGGTTGGGCGGTTGGGTGCACTGCTGTGTTAACGGACGGGCCTTGAATTGAAACGTTTCTGTGTTGCCCCATGCTCCTGGCCAGTAAGTAAAACTACTGGTACCGTCCGTGTCAGCAAACAACCCACCGACGTGTTGAACGAAACAAGGGGGGGGG